TGATTTTGTGGATTTGAAAGTTAAAGAAAGGGTTAGTAACGAGATAAGAGATAGAAACAGAGAAAAAAAGCTTCAGCACGAATCGGCTGGAAACCAAGCCCAAGACTTATCGTAATTTCATGAAATTACATCCAGAGATATGGAGTCACAACCCCAAGTTAATCATAATACAAAAATCGTTCCCTCGGGGAACGATCAAAGTCATGTGATTTTAACAGAGTCGCCTTCGTTGCAAACTGAAGTGTCTGAATTAGAACAGGACGATGAAATTGATAAAAACCAAATCGTTGAACAAGGTTTAATACAAGAATTGCATTTACCTACTAAAGAAAACAACAGCTCTATCAAAATTGGCAACTCTGGCAGCAAATCAGGAAATATGTTTCCTTTGGAAATTCTGCCCAACATTTGTCTCATTTATTTAAAACATCAATCAATCAAGGCAACAGGAAAACTTAAACTGGTATTATTATTCTCTTGAATTCGAAAATAAGGTTCTTGATATTTATAATTGATTAATGCATCAGCATTTGTTGTCAATTTTGGTGAATATGAAGTTTTTGGTCCAGTGCTTGCTTTCATAATTCCATTAATGATTTTTTGTTCAAAATTATTTATATAAATTTCATCTTTTTCTTTTGAAATAATTTGTTGAGTATTGTTTTTTACAACTTGATCTTTGTTGTTAATGTTAATGAATTAAAAGCTTTGAGAGTTCATAATTAATTTAATATTTGGATTTTGAATACGTAGTTTGTCAAATAATTTGGTAGTCAATTGAAGGATTTTAGTTGAAATAGTAGCAGGAATAATAATGGATAGTAACATTATAGAATTACAATTAAAATTATAATATTAAAGGATTTATAAAATTGTTGTTTTTGATTTCTTTGTTTTTAAGAAAAGAATTAATGTTTTTTATAAGAATTTTAAAGTATAGTTACAAGTTTGTTCACTAATCATTAAATTAGCTTACAAACAAGAACCTGGATTGGGAGAGAGAATAAACTAATAGAGAAAATATTAAAAGAAAAGAGAGGTATCTAAGATCTATACCAATTTTTACAGAAATTTTGTTTACTTGAAAAAAATAATAATATGAGAGAGTTGTGGGGAGTAAAGATCAAAAATAATAAAGGAAATTTGAAGAGTGATTCTATACTTGTGTAAAGCTTTCTAGAACTAAAGTAATATCAGTCCTGTAAAAAAAAATTTTTGAACATATCAGGCAAAAATCCAGTTTTTTGTATTGATTTGTTTTTTATCCGGAATATTTTCCGGATAAAAAATGGATCAATACAAAAAACCTGGTTTTACTTTAGCAAAAATCCATTTTTATTGCCGGAGTAAAAACGGTTTTTAAAAGATCTGACATACTTCCTTTTTTTTACTGGATGAAAAACGGATTTAAACAAAAAACCCAGTTTTACTTTAGTAAAAATCTATTTTTATTGCCAGAATAAAAACTGTTTTTAAAAAATCTGACATACTTCCATTTTTTTTTACTGGATAAAAAATGGATCTATATAAAAAACCTGGTTTTACTTTAGCAAAAATCCATTTTTTAGAAGATCTGACATAGTTCCGTTTTTTATCCAGTAAAAAAAAAGGAAGTATATCAGATCTTTACCATTTTTACTCCAGCAATAGAAACAGATTTTTACTTTTATTTATCAGTATGTATTACATGATCTT